AGCAGTAGCAAGCTTTCCTGAATTTTCAAAATTTTTATCTTGATATTTTCGATGAGCGCTGGTGACTGTTATGTAGGGCAAACCTTTGGCTACGTTGTACTTATATTAGATTACGTGGGCCACGTTTATAATGTCCGTAATAATTATTTATTTGAGAAAAACCGCGGCTTTTTGAACACTTTTATCACGTAAAATTACCGAAAATTCCAAAAAGCTGATTTTTGAAGCAAAAAACTTGGTTATGTTACATAAATGATGTTAAATAACAAACAAGTTTGAATTCGCAAAAACTCAAAAGCTTAGGTAGCCTAGCTTAGCTCAGGTTAGGAGAATCTAAGAATATGAGCTTATAGCCCGAGAGTTGCTCTATTTGACCCATATTTAGTCTTTTTTGAAACCTTGTAATGAAATTTTTGAAAATTAGCTCAACTTTGAGCAGGTAAAATTGACAGGTGGAGAATTTTGGCAATTATCAAAAAAAGCATACAAGATTATGGTATGAAAGTGTATCCATAAAAAAGAGAAGGAGAAGCTTCATCGAGTGCACGTTGAAACTCACTCAAATCTTCATTGTGCATGGTTTTACAGTGGTTTGAAAAAACCGACAAAACTTTCGGGACAACCTAATATGTTTTTTGACCTACCCTTTGCATCTGTGAAAAAAATTGTGCTGTTTGGACGTCTCTGTGAGAAGGTATGAATATTGAGTTTAGTATGGAAAAGCCAAAACTAATTAATTTGTCAATTTTCGAGAAAATGTAACTTCTCACAGAAACCTCCAAACAGAACATTTTTTTCACAGATGCAAAGGGTAGGTCAAAAAACATATACAGGGTGTCCCAAAATAATGTGCACACCGTTTGATTTTGAATAACTTTCTTATTACGAGGTCTTTCGAGAAGCGGTAAGCGCCATTTTGTAGAGCTGGCTTTAACTTAGATTTACAGTACGGAGCGAATCACCGACCGCTCTTCATTACTGTAGGATTACGGTAGAAACTTGGAACATATGGTGTCACTGTGGAAATAGCTGCCGTTTCAAAAATTTTCGAAAGATGTGAAAACTTGTGTAATAGGGTTTTTAAAGACGCTGAGTTCAATACTCAACTATTCTCAAGATTGCGAAGCTTTCTAACCGTTTAGGAACATTGAGAAAATGGCCGCTACTGCTTACCTGGCATAACTCTTCAATGAAGCATCATAATAAGTTGGGAACTTTACAATTAGAATCAGCAACTCTTGTTAGCCTGGTGTAAAAGTTTCAGGCTGTTTTATTTCCTTTCTGAGGCAAAATATGGCCTTTCATGGCTCAAAACCCTCTTTGAAGTATTTACCGTAATCTTACTGTAATGAAGAGAGATGGGTGAATCGTTAAATACTGCAAATCTAAGTTGAAGCCAGCTCTACAAAATGGTGCTTACCGCTTTTCGAAAGACCTCATAATAAGAGAGTTATTAACAACCAAACAGTGTGCACATTAATTTGGGACACCCCGTATACTGACGATTTCAGATTTTTCTGCAGATTCCAGATTTTTGATGACCTAACTTAAAATGGTCAAAGTTTACATGGTCTCTTAGTTTTTCATTTTTATCTCTGACTCAGTATGAAACAGAAGCTCCACAAAACAAAGGTTGAAAGCGGAAGACCTAATCTTTCTGATAAAAATACAAGCAAGCAAATCCGTTGAAAATCTCGCGAAGTTAAAAATTTTTGAAAATCAAACGACAGAGCTTTTGCACCAACCTAATATAAAACCGGCCTTTTCCAGAGAGAGTAACGCCGCAGCCAAGCTTGAAACACTCAGAAGTTGGCGCTACCTGCATTTATCCTCTTCGTAGAACAAAAGCTCTTCAAATAACATTGATTATTTGCGAAACTTCCATTTCAATAGTTGAAAGCGTTGATATGTTGTGACCCCACTACAGACCCTCGTATATCAGTAAATGTATCAGGTTGTCCCGAAAGTTTTGTCGGTTTTCTTAGACGATTATGTGCAATCCATTTTCATATATGTACGTTTGATGCAGCTTTTTCGTCCATATCTAATGCTCACAATTTCTGGTCATAATCTCCTGAAATCCTTTGGATATTTGCCAATATTTGTCACTCTTCATTTCTATCTGCCCAGAGTTTGGCTAATTGTCAAATATTTCATTTTATACTCTCGATAAGAATATATCGTTGTATTCGTTCTCTCAGCGACATTATACTACTACTAATACTATCAACAGCCTATCATACTCCGTTTCATAAACACTGAGATGTTGCCTACGGACTCTTGGTTCACGCAAATTGTTACATATGTTTAAGTCTTCCATAGCCACTGCAATCCATCTTCTCCCAATTTAAGCACCCGTTTTGCAGTGGTATTTTCTCATACCTCGGGAAAGCAAGTAACACCTATAAAATCAGCTAACGATTTCAAAGATCTCTTAAACTGTATTCAGAAAATTAAAATTATGCGAGGTATGCAGAGATTGTCGCCTCACCGATTCGATCTGCATACGCTTTACCTACTCCTACATATTTTCAACCTACAATGATCTCTGTATCTTTTGGGCCAACAGTGTTTCATGCATACAAATCAACCATGGGTCTTTCTAACAAGGGAAGGATACTTGGTCGAAGTGGCGTTTCCATATGAAATGCATACTATTTTATAGAGCATGCAACGCTGATTCCGAATCTGTCTTCGTTATCTGCCGAGCGCCTCTGGACGCCGAGTTATGAGCGTTCCTTTGGTTGAAAAATTTAATGCGTAATTAGAGCAAAATTCGTCAGAATTGCTCAAATGGTCCGAAGTTGGTTATCAGAGCACTCCATTACAAAGGATACCTTCTGTCCAAAACACTCATACTACATGTTGCTCTATTTAGGCGCTGAAAAGTCCGTAATAGTTGATTTTACATGAATTCTGAGTTCATTTTTCGCTCCAAAAAAATTTTATAACTCGACGTCCAGAAGCGCTCGGCAGATAATGAAGGCAGATTCGGAATCAGCGTTCAACGCTCTTCAAAATGGTGTATGACCCATTTGGAAAGACCACTTCGACTGATTCGACCTCCCTTGTAAGATACTTTTGAAAAATGATGCGAAACATAGCAAGGCTTTTTACATTGTCAAAACTTTCTTGGCACTTAGAATACATTTGCAGTACTGTGAAGCACTTATGATAGATTCAGGAGGTGATAGTACATTATTCCACAATTTTAGACGAAAGTTTCTCAAGTCAATAAAGGTGTCAGTCATGCTCAATTAAGGAAAACGCAAAAAGTTATCTCTGAAGAGACGACAATTACAGCAAAAAATTTATGAGATTCGTACCACCTTGGATTCAAATTGTATCACTGATGTAACGTGGGATCTTTGCATGGGTGGTTTCCAGAGAGACGAAGCAGAAGCTGTTGTTGGCATTCCTATGCTGTCCGTATAATGGGTGTAATCCTTTGTCATTCTGAATACGATAGTTGCTGCATTCAAGTTAGATCTTTGTCGTTAGCATGCACTGGTAAAAATCTCATATGGGACTAGAATAAGTACAGTGGTTGAATTGTAGCTACGATGTGCATTTGCGCTATGCTCCGAATCCACAGCTTCTACGCTTAAATTTTTTTTAGAATAAGTAGTTTACTGTATGCTATTAGGTTGACCGATAAATAAGTTCGCTTTTTTCAGCTGTTATAAATGCTGTAGACAAGTTTTTGTCCAATGGTTGATTGGTATTGGGGCATATATATTGTTTGAGTAAAATTTATCTTCCGAGGAAAAAATCCGCAAAGCAGTGAGAAAGCGAATTTTCTCATAATGCACAAATATAAGGAAATTTGGTTTTCTTGGTGAGACATTTTCAAGTGACAAATCACAATTTTTTATTATGCTCTAAATTGGGAGAGCTCCTCTGATCCAAATACCAAAATGTTGTTCTTCACATCCATTACAGCATGAAGACGAAGCTTAGGAAGTCTAAGAATTGAGCTTTTGGAAATTTCGCCATGTTGCACAACTGTCTTTACTAATGATAGAAAATCCTGAGTATTTGGACTGTGATAGAGGAAGCTCTGAACTATTTTTTCCACAAAGAATCATAGATAGAAAACAACCAGAAAATTATTTTATGATGATTTGTATCCAAAAAGAACTTATTTTTAGCCAACCTAAACTGATGGTTACAGAATTTTTTGAGGAGCATGGTGATCACGCTCTCGAGTTTTCCTTGCTTGTATTTTTCCCCAATCTTGTAAGACGAAATTTCGTAAAAAATGCTTCTGGCGTGTTGAAGGAAAGTTTTACGAAGCAAATATTTACATGTCAAAAAGGTTTCTCAAACAATTTTTATATTTTGCAAACCCCTTTTGGAAATTTCGAAGGAGAGGGAAGTGATTTGGCATTTTTCTTTTGCGCCAAGTTTTATGGACGTGGTTCACTGACAGTTCATTGTTTCATATTGTTTTCTCCAATGGTTTGCTTAATTGCTTAATCCACATGTTAAGCATCTCTGTTGCAGGTGAGCAAACTCTTTTTCAATTTTGCTTGAACTAGTAGCAATGATTGCCAAAAGCCTATTCGCTCAAAGTTTTAAAGCGAAAAATGCTTGCCTCTCGATATAGATATCCATTGATGCCCTTGTCTAATAATTATGAAAAAATTCTGTGAATTTTCTGGGATGTTTTGTGGAAAGTGATAGGGGGTATATCGCAAGCCATGTGCGCAGCGCTTAAGTTGCAAGAAGTACGACTTCATCATAGTCTGGTAAATTTCTAATATGACCATTTTTTCCCAGCAGGTGCCGTATGCACTGCAGAACCATGTTAGCGCCCATTAGAAAAGGTCAAAATGAAATTTTGCACCTTTTTTCCGAGAACCGTTTCTTTTTACTTTTGTCAGCCAGGATAACCTGTTGTGCTCCCCTTATAGCTACCTATACTTTCTTCCCTAGCGAACGTCGAGGTGCTCGTGTCCCTACGAGGAATTTGCGCACGTGTATCCGATTGCGTCACAATGGTCATCGCAGCCGCAGAGCAGCGACAGCCGGCGAAACAGTGCGCGATGGCGAGACGGCGGCGGCAGCGCGTCGAGAGTGTGTCCGGTGCCGGACGCCGAGCCGCACAGCGACGCGCCGAGGCGAGCTGGCTGCCAGCAGAGAGCGTGCGTCGAGCCGAGCGCCCAGACGCCGCCGCTGACCAGCAGTGCCAGGCGCGAGGACGCGGTGTACTGGTCAGTGCACCAACACCAAAACAATCCCGACCCCCGTTCGGTTCCACCATCAACCGCCGAAACCCCCAGCGTTGACCGCAGATCAACCGCCAACACGCTGTCGCTAAGTCACATTCTCTCTAGTAGAGTGTTTCTGCGTTACCATTGTTCTACATACTGAATCCGCTCAAAAGTTTCTCGGCCTCCACCTTCTTCACCCTTACCACAATTATTTTCTAGTAAAACTCGATCCATTCAACTTAGCTAATATTTACGCCCTTCAGCTCACCCTGTTTAGTCCGAAAGGATTCATGAAAATATATCTCAAATTGTATTCTACAACCAAAAAATTGAAATAATTGTTCATATTTGAACTGCTTCACATCCACTTGGAGCTAAAATCTTTTTGTATGTGCTTTTTTGATCACGATCTTTTCCTGATATTATCAAGCGACCATAACTGTTCTCATCAATAATGATGATTATATGACTCTCCGACATCTGGCGGGGATGGTGGAAATTCTGAGCTTGAAACTCATTGTTCGCATTGTTCCAGTAATCTCGACGAAGCTGAGTTATGAATTTTCACATTTTCTTGGACCAAATGGGATTCAAATATGCCATCCATTTCTCTGAGAAGAAAAACGGCGATACTGAGCACCCTATTTGAAACTTTTTGTCCTTTCCATATTTAAATTTATCACGAAAGCAGCAGAATAGATAACGATTGCCTTCTCATGAGTGAAATCAACAGCTGGCTTTTCATGCGTACAATTTAAGTTACTTCGATTTAATCAATCTTACCTAGGATGAGGGTATATCTGAGCGCTGAATCAGTCATTAGGATTTGCCATACACATCTTAATCCTTCGCATGCATTATGAATATTACTTCTGATCCTTCTAATCCAGTGAATACGACACCTTTGCACCTGTGCGACGGATGTTGTGTACATATCTTTTTCTGTGGTATGATCTCAACCCAGAAGACTTCATGGTTCACTTTTCTGAGGGATGTTTCTTGGTACATCTACATAAGAATTGACAGCAAGATATGTTCATTGGATTTCCGAAGATTTTTCTTTTTTTCACATAGACCAGATTGGAGACTGCAGTACTTGGTCGAAAGTCTCTCCTTTTCATAGTAAGAAGCCATTGGAGCGGGGTGCTACTCATGAGAAAGCATTTTAAAGAAAGGCGTCCATATTAAACCACAGTTTTCAATAGATTGTAACATAGTGTTTTCACACTTTCTTCGTCTTCCTCTTTGAACATTTGGAAACTTCAATAAAGTCTCTCAAACATGTGCATATCAGGAAGGAGTAATAGGGCTACCATTGGCACCATTTCAAATTTCATACATATGAGTCACAGAAAGTATAAAGGTAACTATGTAATTCCACTTTGACCTTTATTTTTTTTCTTGTTCTCTCAACAATCATGTCATTGTTCTTTGTCATTTCTTTAGATTTATGCTTTCTGGTAGCATCAACACTAACCCGAGGGCATTTCGGACTTTAAGTTCTTCAATATTGTAGGAAAAGCGGAAAAAATTCGAAAAGTTAAAAAATTGGTTCTTTGATTAGTTTGATGCATAGTTCTTGTGCCAAATAATTTTTTTCTGTTACTTTCTCCAGTCTTAATTAAATCTTCTCATTTGATACAGAATAGAGGTAAAAAATCTTGCGCTTTCAAAACGTGCTGATTTTTAATTGAGGGCATATGACAACGATATAAGCTGATCAAGAGAAGTATCCAGAAGTGGTTTTCCGTTTTCTAGCTAAATTTGCTCAAACGTCTACTGGAAATTTATTTTTGGTCTTCGTTTCATGACCTACTCTTTTTGGCTGAGAGAAGTTGGTAGTGATTGGATGTCTCTAGGAATACTATAAAGTGCGATTTTTGAAAATCGACTCATTGATTTTGTTGCATATTGATTTTTTGAAGCAAAATATAAAACACTACTTTTGATATACATAACAAAGGGACATTGCGTGAACTGAGTTTGTTTGAGTAGTTTTAAAATGATTTTTTGCGTTGCAAGATGTGCATCAATCTAATACATGGGTGACACATGTATATATCAAATACTAGCCCATCCTCTCCCCCCCCCCCCACCCCCCCCCCCCTCACCTAAAAAATAATCAAGGAAAATGTTTCAAGATAGCGATGTTTCCTTTTCAGGGGTAACAACTCAAGTTACGGGCTATTCTATAGCAGTTTAGCTCAACTTTAGCTATTTACCTCATTTCAAATATCTGAGAAAATTAACTACAGCACTTTCTGGGAGATTTTCACTTTCTTCTTGCAACTCTTCTTCATTCAATGAGATACGGAAACATTCTGGACCATTTCTGTGTCTTGCCCTTGCTTCTCCCTTGAAAACTTCACTACAATTCGCAAGTGAAAGTAGCGAATTGGAGGAAGAGTAAAAAGCTCTTGTACGATTTCCACCGCCATTAGGTGAATTCGACACTCGTACCAGTTCCCTTGTCGATTTAGAACTTCTCAAAAAGGGAGGAGATTATGTTACAACGTCCCCATCAACTATAGCAAGCAAGTTGTTTTGGAATTTACTGACGAGATGCCGGCTGGTTTTTGATTGTGTCCTCGAAAACAACATGTGATGGCAACGACGATTTCTTTCGTAACGTCGCCATCTACGGTTTTGTAAAAATGCCACACGTCTCGGTTGTCACTTTCGAAAACGACTTGACGGCAACCTGCTGATAGTATTGCCATATTATTTCCTAATCCCGGTGATTTTTAATCTCTTTTACGATTGTGTCTCGAATCTCATGTATGGAAAGTATAATTTACGGAGGCCTCCATGTAGTTTGTTATACAGTTTAACAAAGCTAATCTACTATAAAAGCAGAGCACGTTCGTTACCAAAATTCATATAATTGTGAAATATTTCTGCCGTTCAAATTCATTTTATGTATAAAGCTGAATGTCTGTTTGCCTGTTTGATGTCTGTATGTCTGTACGTTTGGAATAGAAATTTTTATATTCTAAGCATCCGGACCAACTCGACACATATACACTTCGGGCGGTGTATATTCGTTATAGATCGATATCGATTTTATCGAGTTTCGCAAAGTTTCACCTACGAGGTGAATTGGCAAGGGAGCGTAGTGAGCATCCTGACTACAAAATTATTATTGACAGGGTCGGGCAGAGCCGGGTTAGCCAGCTATTTTCACTAAAAAATCTTTATAAGTGGGTACATTTGCAGCATGTCGGGAACAGAGACTACCGTAATAAACGGTTTTTTCGCTCATCCCAATGCCCCTAGTTCCCTATTTCTGTGGTCCATGCGCCCAGTTTCTTTGGTGGATTCCAACTTAATTCTTTGATAGTGTAGTTCCGCACGGTAATCATCGTGTTTTTTTATCAGTTTAGGTTTTTCAAAAAAACCCGAAACATTCGTGAATAGTGCTCTAATGCACTAAAGCAGTATTGACGTGCGAGCTACAAAAACTGCGTAGAATCCGCCAATGCATCCAAAGCAACTTTCTACGCCTGTTTTGCATTGATCGGCATTCGAACATGTCATAATATCCTCATTAGTCTTTTCGTAGCACTTCTTTAGAGTCTAAGAAAAGTTCCAGTTTTGTTTTCTGGTGCGCCAGTGAGCCTGCAGCAGCATCATTGAAAATCGCAATTCTTGCACTTACTATTCACTCTTTTGTAACTCAGATGGTAACTCAACCTTGATTCCTTTATTTGCAAAAAATTTTACTGCATAGATGAGTGACTCTCATATTCTAGAGTCTAGCCAGCGAAGAGCGAATATGAACAGTGCGCCCAACTCATCTCTTTTGTCCAAATTGCAATCGCGCTTTGCTAAGTGCTGGCATAAACAAAATCTAAAAATCGTATACTAAAAGGGCTTCAGAATTGAGAGTTCTAAAATCTAAGTCGGAGCGATGGGACTAGACTAATTATTCAAACCAAGTCATTTTTTGAGATTCACAGAAGTCCTAAAGAGGCTAGTGAACCTGGTGAGAATCTCTGGTTCACCTGATAAAATGAGTTGTCCTATTCATATGGAAGATTTTGGGTTAGCACCAAATAAGGGTTTTTCTGATTGCGTATTACCCTCCTACCACTCAAACTTCGAAGAAGTAGTTCAGCACTTGACTTACTGCACTTCTCGTCTATGGTCAGGATAGGAACTCTATGTCGGACTTTGAAGAAATTTGACCAACTTATACCAAATGCAGTTTGGCTAAGAATTTACTGTAAATCTTTCTGTGGCGGTACAGTTCTTCATCACTGGAGGCTGTACACCAGGGGATTCAACAGTATGAAGCTACTTTTTTTCCTTTCACTGTACTCTTTCCTATCTCTCAGAGCATTGACAAATTCTTTCACAAATTTATTGCAATCACCGTATACAGTACATACGTCAAGAGCAATTCATAATACGCAGGACAAATGCACTATATTGTAATGTGAAGTGGACAGTGTATAAACTGCCAGGTAGAGCTTCCTCTTATCGCGAAGATTATATGAGGTCTTTGGTAAACATTGTCAATCGGAAATACACCATGTGATACGCCACCACACCACCATGTTGTGCTGGGAGCCATGATTTTAGAATAGTATTGCTTCTAATTTTATTTTGTGGAAAATAAGGCACCGCATCCTTTTAGAGAACCTAGCTTTTCAGAATAACTACAAATAATCTGTAGACCGTCGTTGTAACGAAGCGCATGCGCAGGGCTCGACACAGCTGGCATTAGGGAAATTTCAAAAAAGTCCTTTTTGATCAAAATTTCGTACGAGGTCCTCTTTGACCCTAAACCCTGAAAAAACGAAACGTCGACAAAAAACGTCGCAAGTGAATTTCGGCCACAAAATCTCTGCTTTTTAAAGATAACGATATCCAGCTTCACCCGGTCTTAAAAACGATATCCAGCTTCACCCGGTCCTAGCCGCACCGAGCCCTGTACATGCGCCTTATTTGATAACTTTTTTAGTCCTGTTTGCCATGCGCTGATTTTAAGTCCAAGC